CACATATTTGCTTAGTAAAGTTACTAGCTAAATTGTGGTCCTCTATCTGTAGTTATTTCAAAGGTAATCCATGTTTTGAGAAAACATGTTGTATGAATAACTTTGCTGTTTCTTTAGAATCTATTTCCTTTTTACAGGGGATAAAGATTCCCATCTTTGAAAAATCTGTCTACAATTATTAGTACTGCATCTTTACCAGTTTGTGTAATTAGTAATCCTGTTATAAAATCTGCTGTAACATGTTCCTAGGGTCCTGTTAGAATTTTTAATGGTTGTAATGGTGGTTGTGTTTTTCCTCTCTTGTGTTTTGTCTTTTAACATATTACACAAGTATCTACATATTCCTTTATCCAGTTAGTTATTCCTGGCCAATAATATGTTCTCTTTACTAATTCCAAAGTCTTTCTGAGTCCTGGATGTCCAGCTATAACACTATCATAATATTGTTAAACAATTCTGACTTTTTCCTCCTGTTTACCTTCCCTTAGTAACAGTATTTTATTACTATAGTTAGTTCCTGAGTCTGTTTCTGTAGTTTCTTCTACAGTCATTGTTTTAATGTGTATTTCTGACTCTTTAAACATTTCCTGAGGGAGTAATACAACTTCCTGATTGTCCTTTTCTTCTAGCTCATAGTCAGGTCTTCTAGAGAGTGCATCTGCTCTATTTTTCTTGCCTGCTCTGTATTCTATTTTGAAGTTGTATCTGCTTAGTTCTAGTGCCCATCTTGCTTGTCTTCTGTTTAGCTGCTTTTTATTTTGAAAGGTTTTTAAATTAGATTGGTCAGTTATTATTCTAATTTGATGTTTGGCTCCTTCTAAATAATGTCTCCAGTTTGCTAATGCCTTTATAATAGCATATAATTCTTTATCTGGTACTGTATAATTTCTTTCCTGTTTACTAAAAGTTGAAGAATAATAAGCTATAGGATGTAATTCTTTATCTTCCTGTTCTTATGATAGTATTGCTGAGCATGCAAAATCTGATGCATCAGTCTCTACTACAAACTGCTTTTCATGGTTTAGCCTTACTAATACTGGTACCTTAGCAAATGCTTCTTTTATAACTTTAAAAGAGGCTTCTTGAGTGTCTCCCCATGTAAAAGTTCTCTTCTGTAATAGTAAACTTGATAATGGTTTTACTTTTCCAGAATAATCTTCTACAAATTTCTTGTAGAAATTAAAGAATCCTAGTATTTTCCTAATGTCTCTTTTTGTTAGAGGTCTAGACCATTCTAATATAGCTTTTATCTTGTAAGGATCTGCTTTTAGTCCATCTTGATTGACTACAAAACCTAAGTAGTCTAATTCTTGTTTATTAAAGAAACACTTTTCTGGTTTATAGTAAAAGTCTACTTTCCTTAATAATTGTAGCACCTTTTTGGTTAGCTCTAATAGCTCCTTTTGTGTTTGAGCATAGATAATAATATCATCTAAATATATTACTATCCCTTTACCTATTAATTCTTTAAAGAGTTGATTCATAGCTCTCTGAAATACTACTAGTACATTCATTATTCTAAATTACATTACTAGTGGTTCATATAATCCTTTATGTGTTCTAAAGGCTTGTAAGTATTCTTGTCCTTGTTTTATCCTAATGTTATTGTATCCACTTTTAAGGTCAAGAGTTGTAAACCATTTTGCTTCCTTTAAATAGTCTAGTAGTGTGTGCATTATGGGTATAGGAAATGGATTAGGTTCTGTAATCTGATTTAATTTCCTGTAGTCTATAACCATCCTTGCTCCTGAATCCTTTTTGCCTACAAAGAATACTAGTGATACAATTTTAGAATGACTCTCTCTAATGTATCCTTTCTTTAGGTTTTCTTGTATAAATTCCTCTACTGCTTCTTGTTCTACAGGAGTTAGAGGATATACTAGACACATTTTAGGTAATTCTGCTCCTTCCTTTAGTTTAATATCCATATCCCATCTGGAATGCTTTAGTAATCTATCTGCTTTATCTTTATCAAACCTGTTTAAGTAATCCCATAATTCCTTTAGCACTAATTCCTTTTTATCTCTTTCTGAGCCTATTCCTGATCTGTTTAGTACTTCTACCTTTTCTTGTGAAGCTTTCTGTACTATACTAGAGAC